TTTTTTTTTTTTTTTTTGGTTTAGCCGGAAAATACCGGATTAACAAAAGCACACTTGAACAGTTTAAGGTTGTGTTTTTGTTTGTGAGTGTTTGGAGCATAAGCTGCAGGGAGACATTTCCAGTAATAAGTAGGTTTTTTTTCCACATATTTATCCTTCTTCTTAACGGGTGTAAAGGCCACAAAACACATTAGGAAGCAAAAAGGCAGTGAGAGCATGTGTGAGTCAGATTTATAGTGATGAAGATGAAGATAATAACTGTGTGTGTGTGTTAAAGCTCAGCTGAAGGCCTCATGGTGAGCTCAGCTTTCACAGATATGACCTAGATGTCAGAAATGACACATCCTTCCTGTTTTTGCACCAGCGAGCCCCGTTAGGTAAGATATTGCACAGTTACCGCAGTGTTGACTTTATATAACACACTGACAGGTAGATGTATTCACCTGCACTCATGGGAAGAGGTAAATCTCACGCTGTGTTATCAAAAAATACAAACACCTGTTCAGTTCCCTTCGTGTCACACACTCCAACACCTGGTTTGTGGTGTTTTGAGGGTAAATTGTGTCACATCTGCGATTGGACGTTGGTGTGAATAAAACAGGAGACGCAGTATCAGGACCAATATTGGGTTACAGTGTTGTTACTCATCAGGAGTGTGTGTGTGTGTGTGTGTGTGTGTGTGTGTGTGATGCAACTGTGTGACAATACAGGGATGTCGACACGTTTTTGTTTCACTCCTGTTGTGAAAATAAGATTTTCAAGATCTCCAACATCTGCAACAGGAAGGAGGGCTGCAACGGAACGACGTGTCCGGAGAGTTTAAAGAGGCACAAAACCCAAATGATTCAGTCTACTGTGATGTGAAAGCGAATCACAGTTTTAGTATTTTTAGTAGATAACTGACTTTCAAACTTTAATTGAACTAGAGCCGCACTAATTAGTTGATAATTCGCTGGTTTCTGGTGTAAATACTTTCTTTTTCTTTAAGTTTTGGACATCACCTCATCACTTTCACCATCGGCTTTGAGAACGTTCCCCCCGATGTTCCGACATGAGTCCATAATGAAACTGATCGTTAGTTGCCGCTTTAGTTTAAACCCCGTTTTGTGTTGATTCTGGCGACCTTGTGGACAAAGGCGGTAGTGTTTCATTGATGTCGAGGGGAATCCCACCTGTGGCAGACATTACAGATCACATAGAAACAGCTGATCTTCTCGCTGACGGTGTTTGTTTGTCATATAGAGACATCAGGATTAAACTGAGACTTTGATAACCAGTTAAACACTAAGATCATTACATTTAGTAGTATTCTTATTTCCATTATCGATGAATCCGTTGATTATTTTCCTGATTAATCAATAAGTTGGTTTCTCCATAAGATGTTTAACTCTGACAAAGCCCAAGAGGACTAAAGGAACCAGAACATATCCTCGTTTAAGAAGCTGAAATCAAAGAATCTGGACATTTCTTCTTTAAAAAGAGCTGATTAATATCACAATTGACCAATAATTGATTAATTGATTAATAGTTTCTGCTCTAGAATAAATTGGCGGAACTTGAGTCGGAACATTTGTTCATTAGTGGTGAAGTGAAAACATTTTCTACCATCAGTCTCAAGTCTACTGTCAATGTGGGGAAGAAGAACCCAAAGTCCAGCACCAGTAGCTGCTTCGTCACATTTCAGTACCGAAACAAAGAATCACCTCTAGTGCGTTTTAACAGGCCGAGCCTCAACAGAAGCCCTCTGTGTCGTCTCTTTCTGTGAAACTCTGTGTTTTTAAAAGCGTCTCCTCCCTCCGTGTCCCCCTCTGTGTCCTGCAGCAGTTCTGTGGTGTTCTGGGTCACACATTTATGGAGTTTCTGAAGGGCAGTGGGGACTACTGCCAGGCTCAGCACGCTGCGTATGCAGACGAGTGAACAGCCTAACTCGCCATCGATCCGACGCACTTGAGCCACAGGAGGGACCCCGGAGAGTTGGCAGGACCGGGACGCCTCCCAGAACCAGCGACAACTCGGCCTGGATGGGGTAACTCCACCCGCTGCACACTGCCCTCGTCGGCTTCCGCCTGGCCTGAATCAAGGTGGAACCAGCCTTGTTTTGTTTTTTTCTTCCTTTTCTTTAGTTTTTATCCCAGAGGAGAGGGTTTTGAGTTGTTTCTCTGATTGTCCGCCCTTTTTCGGCCGCTAACTTTTCCAAATTTCCCCATTCGCCAGTCGCAGCCTTCGTTTTTTTTTTTTTTTGTTTAGCCTCGCCAACTTCGAAGGAAGACCTGAGGATTTCTGTTTCTGGGTTTCTAGAAGCTCGTTGGACGTTTTTGTTTGACATTCCCTCCGAGTTTGACTAAGTGTTTACATTAGTGTTTTTACTCTGTGGACTTTTGGGTTTTGTTATTATTTGTTTTCCGTTTGTCACAATGGCTCGTATGAACAGACCGGCCCCTGTGGAGATCACCTACAAAAACATGAGGTTCCTCATTACCCACAATCCCACCAACGCCACCCTGAACAAGTTCATCGAGGTGAGCCTCAGTGTCATGAAAGTTAAAATTCATTCAGACAGAAAGGTTTTTACGAGCTGTATATTGGGAAACATGGCAACAGAGATAACGTGCTTATAGATATTAAGAGACGGTTAGGATGCTTTTTTTGCTTGTAAGAAGTTCCTGTTCCTGTATTTTTCTAATAAATTCTGCCTTTTTTTTTTTACAGGAGCTGAAGAAATATGGAGTGACCACCGTCGTGAGAGTTTGCGAGGCCACCTATGATGCCGCCCTGGTGATGAAAGAGGGAATCCAAGTTCTGGTGAGCCCACAAACCTCTGACTCCTTCATGATTGTTGATGCATCAAACCAAACTGAATGTCTGTTCCCCCCCCCCCCCAGTTCTGTGTTACTTTCCTGAACACGCCCAATCAGTTTTATCCTCGTGTTTTCTTACAGTGTTGTGTAAAATTTTCCATCAATAAAACACAATCATAACATCGAGCTCACAGCTTGTAGCTCTTCGCTGGTGCCAACGTGGTGGACTTCACCCGTAGAGGCTTTAGAGTTGCCGAGCAAAGACATTGCTTTAAAAACAGCAAGCAGGGAGGACGGTTTTCAGGAACATCAGGGATCAATCAAATCCACCTTCCACTGTTTTAAAAATGGATTAGATTTAGGGCTGCAATTAACTAAGTAATTGTTATTAAATGTATAGAACAGCATTATAAGCGTATAAAGAGACACTGGAACTAGCAAATGTCCTTCGTTTTTGCTTTGAGTGACAATTAATCGACTTTGAAAACAAATCAAATAGTTTTCTGTTGACTGATCAAACAATGCATCCACTAATTGTTACCCACCGCCTTTGTTCACAGATCCTTTAAAGGACATCACAACTGAAGGTTTTGTGTCTTTAAGTATTTTACTGATTCGATCTCCAACTATATTAAAGTGGGTCAATTCTGTAAAGACTTCATGTGTAACCAGTAAAAAGTGAAGACACCGACACAGAAAGAATCGTCCCTCCCCCTACAACAACATTTTTGTTTCCCTGCAGCTGGTTCAGTCCTCACACTTCTTTTGTTTTGGTTTCCAAGAAACTGGGCCGATGACGTCATGTGCCTCTTTCCCCCTCTTCTCCTCCAGGATTGGCCGTTTGACGATGGAGCTCCTCCCTCCAACCAGATCGTGGACGATTGGCTGAACCTGCTGAAGCTGAAGTTCAGGGAGGAGCCGGGCTGCTGCATCGCTGTCCACTGTGTGGCAGGGCTGGGGAGGTGAGCACGCACTGTCACAGAGATTAAAGTATTATGTTCTTATCATATGGGATAATATTTGACATGATGTGCTCAGGATGTGGAGCATGAAACAGTTTGTACATTCTCTGATACAGAATCCGTTCGTGCTGCGGTTATTTTGTAGTTGGTTGTTTATGTCAGTTATTGGTGTGTGAGAATTTGCTGCTTTTCTCTGTTTTCTTTCATCATAAATAGAATATATTTGGTTTATGGACTTTGCATTGGGCTCCAAGAAACTGCCTTGATATTTACTGAATGAATGTTCTACTAATAAAAGAGAGCTTTGTGCAGGGTCAGAGTTACATGCAGTTATTGTTTTTATACAAATGTCAATACTGTCTCATTTTACATCAAATCAGATATTTGTTTTTGTTTTATTCAGTAAATCTGTAAATTGTGACAAACAAAATAAGACATGTCACCTGTTGTGGTTTGAAAAACAAACCAACGATGCACAACAAAGCAGCAGTCACGTGGATATTGTTTTATATTGCTGAACTCATGAATTCACTCAACATGTCCCACTGTTTGTTTAGTTGAGACAACTCGCCAAACAGGTTCTGTTTCCATCCAGTCTGTTTTAAACAGAAATAGCTGACCGTGCACTCCCTGAACTCTGGTACACATCTGTTCTACTCAGACTTTAATTAGTTGAGCTCAGGACACAAATATGAAGAAAAAAAGAAGCTCTTTCTGATACTAAACTGACGTACTCGGTACCTTGTTTCCCCTGCAGAGCTCCTGTTCTGGTCGCACTCGCCTTGATCGAATGTGGGATGAAATATGAAGATGCTGTCCAGTTCATTCGACAGTAAGTTCACATGACCATGACTATGGTGATTCATACTTTTACAGTGAAACAGAATTCATTAGATTGGACAGTATAGAGGTAGACGGGAAATAAGGGGAGAGAGAGAGAGTGAGGGGAGTGACCTGCAACACCGGCACTAGTCTGGAATCAGTTATGTGTATGCACCTTAACCATTGGATGCCCCCATATTTGTTTTTTTAAACAAAAACAATACACACTTATTTTAAAGATCCCTTAAATTAGGTTGTATTTGGTTATTAAAGTAGAATCTGCTGAACTGTTGGTTTAGCAGCTGTAAAATGAACTTGTCAGCGCTCTCTGGTGGACAAACTGTGT